CCCCCCCCGCCCCGCAGGGTTCTGGCTGCTCTGGACCATCCTGATCCTGCTGAGCTGCTGCTGCGCCTTCCGGCACCGCCGGGCCAAGCTCCGCCTGCAGCAGCAGCAGCGGCAGCGCGAGATCAACCTCATCGCCTACCACGGTGCCTGCCACTACCCCCCCTCCGCGGGGGACCTCCGTGAGTGGGCACAGGGACCCCCCGCGCCCCCAGCCCTGCCAGTAACCCCCTTCCGTGGGGTGTCTGTACGAGTCGGGGCACCCTGGACCCTCCTGTGCCCCCCCAGCACCTGCATCCCCCCGTAACCCCACATCCCCTTCCCCTGCCCCTCCCCATACCCCCTTCCTCCTGGCTTTTCCACTCCATTTCCCCCTCCCCAGCCCTGCCCCGAGCTGAGCCGTCCAGCTCCTTCCCCTCTGGGATCCCTTCCAGCCCCGCATCCCCCCAGCTCTGCCCCCTTTGCTCCCGTGTCCTCTGGCATTCCCCGTATCCCCCCCAGCCCTGCCCCGTTCTCCCCCCCGGGTGCCCCCCTGACCCCGCTGTCCCCCCCAGGGCTGTTGGCCTCCTTCAAGCTCCCCGCGTACGAGGAGGTGGCCCAGCGCCCCGGGACGCCGCCGCCGCCCTACAGCCCCGGGAGCCCCTCGCTGTCCCCCGGCTCCTCCGGGGGCTGCAGCTCCTGCTCCTGCGGATGCTCCTGCGCCTCCTCCCCCAGCAGCTCCTCGCTGTCGGCGCCGGGTACCGACGAGACGGACCCGGAGCCGGGGCCGGGCCCGGGGGGCAGCACCGCCGGCGGCTCCAGCAGCACCGGCACGGGCGCCAGCTGGGAGCTGCCCCTGCCCGAGGAGCCGCCGGCCCGCGGGGGCCCCTCCAAACGCGGCCCCCTGGACTTCCCCGAGGCACAGGGCGGCCCCTGCTCCTACACCGAGGGGGGTGAAGAGGGGATGGGCGGTGCGGCCCGGGGGGAAGGCGGCCCCGGGCGGCATCGGAGGCTCACGGGGGACTCGGGGATCGAGGTGGGGCGGGGTCTGGAGGAGGAGGAGGGTGAGGCCGAGGGCTGCGGGGGGCCAGGGGGTGGGGGGGGCCTGGCCCACCTGCGCTGCCTGTCTGAGCCCCCCCGGGACCCCCTGCTGGGGTCTGGACTCACCACGGAGCCCCCGGGGGCCCCTCACCCCGACTGACCTCCACGGTGACCCCGCTCACGGTGTGGCCCTGCCGGAGCCCCCTCCCCTCCAAATTGCTTCTGGGGTTCCCCCCGTGCCCCTGGTGCTGCTGCCTGGGGGGGCCCCATCGCCGGGGGGGGGGGCCCAGGCAGTGGGGGTGGGTGGTCCTGGCACATTCTCTCACCATTAAAGAGACGTGGAAGTACCGGAGCCCTGGTGTGATGAGGGCGCTGGGCCGGGTTGGGCCCCCCAACTTCTCAGGGAGGGGACAAAGACCCCCGCCGTGGCTTGGGGACATGGGGCTGAGCTGGGCAAAGACCCCCAGCAGCACAGGGGATGCAGCAACACCCTGACTCGGACAGGAACGGGCCATGGTCATGGAGGTTTATTGCAGGGGAGATGAGGGGGCTCCGGCACAGCCCCCCAGCACCTCCCCTGGCCCTGAGCTCACGGTGGGGGCACGGGAACTCCCCACTAATAGTCCTCGGCCATGGCGAGCACGACCAGCGCGGACCAGCCCGCGAAGGGGTGGCAGCCCTGCCCCGCCCCGTCGCTGTCCCGGTAGTGCTCCCACAGGAACCCGGTGGCCTCGTGCTGCCGGAACAGGTTGGTGACCAGGTTGTGGCGCAGCTCCCGGTACAGCTCCGCCGCCCGCTCGCGGTGCGGCCCCGGCGCCCGCGCGTACCCGTGCAGCGCCCGCAGCGCCAGGAAGTTCATGTTGAACCAGACAGAGCCGCGCCAGTACGGGGGGTCGTGCTCGGTGTTGCGCTGCAGGTACCAGGGGCTGTCCCGGGCCAGCGAGCGCAGCCCGAAGGGCGTCCAGAGCTGCGCCTCGCCCCGCATGGCGCCCAGCAGCGCGGGCAGGCGCGGGGAGTCCGGGCGCAGCAGCTGCAGCAGCAGCGGGAACAGGCTGACGTAGCCCAGCGCGCCCACGAAGCGCGGCCGCGGCGCCTCCCGCACCTCCCGGCGCAGCCGCGGGGCCGGCGGGGCCCGGCCGGGCGCGGGGGCCGGGCGGTGCCAGCGCAGCGCCACGGCCGCGCTGTGGTTGCCGAAGTCGGCGAAGGCGCCGAGCTCGGGCGCCCAGTGGTGCCGCTCCAGCAGGGCGTTGTCGCTCAGCGCCAGGGCCATGTGGCTGTAGGGCTCGGGGGGCTCCCCCAGGCGCTCGGCCAGCGCCGCCAGCACGCGGGCGCCCAGCGCCATCCAGCAGCGCAGGTCCAGGTGCCGCTCCTGCTCCGAGGGGTGCGAGGCGCGCGGGTAATCGTCCAGCCCCGACGCCAGCGTCTTGGGGTTCAGGAAGCGCTCGGCTTCGGCGTCGCGGCCGCGCCAGCGATAGGTGAGGGGCTCGGGGCCGGCCTGGGTGCGGTTGAGCCACGAGAACCAGGCGCGCAGGCGCGGGGAGAGGCGGCGCAGGTAGGGCAGGGGCGCGTCGGGCAGCAGCCGCTCCAGCGCCAGCAGCAGCGTCGGGGGGTTCGCCGTCTCGCTGTGCTGCAGCACGAACTCGGGGGGCACCCTGGCCCGCGCCTCGTCCCCCAGGATCTGCTCCCGCGGGATCCAGCCGTCGGCGTTCATGAGGTCGAGCCAGTGCGCCAGCACGTCGCGGGCCAGCGCGGGCTCCCAGCGGGCCAGCAGCAGCAGGTGGAAGCCCTCGTCCCACAGGAAGCCCCGCGGGAAGCAGGAGCGCGAGGGCACGGCCGTGAACAGCGCGGCCTCGGGGCCGGGCAGCGGCTCGGAGCGCTCGGAGCGCAGCAGGGAGCGGCCGTGGAAGAAGCCGAGCCCCCCCAGGAGCTCGCTGAGCGCGGCCCGGGCGAAGCGGCGCTGGGGGGGGGGTCGCCCCGCGCGCCCCCAGCCCGAAGGTGTCCTCGAAGCGTTGCTCGAAGGCGGCCGCGTGCCGGGCCAGCGCCGCGCCCAGCGCCCGCCCCGCCAGCCGCCCCCGCCGCGCCCCCGCCGCGCTGCCCGACTCCAGCAGCACCTCCAGCACCGCCGGCGCCTCCAGCGTCACCTGGTGCAGCAGCAGCTGCCCCCGCGGGGGCTCCCCGGGCAGGGCCCCCGTCTTGGACACCCCCAGGTAGTGGCGCCGCGGTCGCCCCGGCGGAGAGAACGACGAGGCTTCCCGGAGGCTGCGCTGGACCAGCTCGGTGAGGCGGTGCAGCCCCGGCACCCCCGCGGCCAGGAAGTTGTAGCTGAGGGAGACAGGGGAGGTCAGGGATGGGGGGCAGGTGGGGTGACAGGGGGGAGGTGGGAGAGTCAAGTTGGGGGAGACATGAGGGAGATGAGGAGTCAGGGAGAGGGGGGACACAGGGGAGACAAGGGGACACAGGGGACGTGGAGTCAGGGGAAAGGTGGAGGAGATGGAGGAGTGCAGGGAGGAGAGATGAGGGGACACAGATGGGATGCAGAAGGGCACACGGGATATTAGGGAAAGGGGGGACATGGGGGAAATGAGGGAAGAGAAAAGGGGCAGACACAGGGAGAGAGAGGGAGACATGGAGTCATGGAATGGGGGGGAAAAAAGGAGGCAAAAGGTAGGTGGAGATGGAGGGGCCGTGGAGGGGTTGGGGGTCGTGCCCCAGTGACTCACCTGGCGTATTTAGGCTCCTCCTCACCCTCCCCCGTTGGGGGCAGGAAGGTGAGGGTGAAGTTCCCGAGCTCCTCCGACGTTCCCTCCACGGCCGCCAGGCGGGTCCCGTCGTGCAGCACCGGCCGCAGCTCCCCCTGCCCGTCCGTGGCCACGTAAAAGAACAGGGACAGGAGCGGGGCCGGGCCTTTGCCCTGCGGGTAGGAGTAGGAGCAGGAGGAGGAGAAGGGTGACGGAGGGTCCCCGGCATCCCAACGCCTCTCCCGCCCTCCCCGCGCTCACCTCCGTCCTCGCCGTGACCCTCCAGCTCCAGTCCCCGCCGTGGTCTCCCCCCGGCTGCTTGACGAACTCCGTCCTGAGCAGCAGCCGCCCGTCGCGGATCTCCTGCACGCCGAAGTTCTCCCCGTCGTGCATCACCCACCCGTACCGGGCCGGCCCGTCGCCGCTCTCGCACGTGTGCCGCAGGCCGCCGCCGTGCTGCAGCCACATCAGCCCTGGGGGGCGCGGGGGGTCAGGGGAGGCTCCCGGGGCGGCGTCGGGACCGGCGGAGCCCCCGGGGCGGAGCCCCCGCCCGCGCCCCCCTCACCGGTCACGACGGAGCGCGGGCTCCGCGTCTTCATCCCGAAGTACACGTGCGGCCGGTACGTGCCCCAGAAGTAGGCGGGCGAGGCGAGGGGCCCGGTGGAGCCGGGCGGGACGGCGGGGGGCGCGGGGTGGGGGGTGACGAGCCGCGAGGCTTCGCTCCACCGGCTCCACTCGGTCGCCGCCGCCACGAGACCGAGCGCCAGCGCCGCCGCCGCCGCCGAGGCCACCAGCACCGTCCGGCCCCGGCCCGGGCCCCGCGGCTCCTGCTGCTGCTTCTGCTGCTGGCGGTGTTTGGGGTCCCGCGGCCGCTCCCGGGGCCCGTCCCCGCCACGCCGCCGCCGCTCCCCCGCCATGGCCTCGGGCGCGCCCGGAGCGTCAGCGCCGCGCGACGGCATCGGGCAGGGCCGCGCGCGCCCCCTGGCGGGCGGGAGGACCCCGCGCGGTTCGGTCCTCCCAGGGACCCCCGCCCGACCCAAACCCGGCCCCGGGGGGACAAGGACCCCCCCCAGCATGCCCCCAACCCCGCCTTCCACCCAGTCCGTGCTCATCACGCCCTGAGAAGCCACTTCGTTATCCCCCTTGGTCAGCCCCATAGCTGCGAGGGGGTCCTGGCTACACTGACCCCCCATCTGCCACCCCAACAGTGCCCCCAAAGGGACCCCAGCCAGGAAGCCCTCAGCCTTTCCCAGGACCCCCACGGATGCCCGACCTCCCTGGGGACCTCCCAAGGACCCCCACTATGAACCCCCAGTATCCCCTGGGACCACCAAGGGACTCCTGGTCTCCTCGAGGACCCCATGGACCCCCACTCTGCATCCCTGGCATCCCCTGGAAGCCCCCAGGGTACTCCCAGCCTCTCCAGGGCCTCCAAGAGACCCCCAGCTGCCCCATTGTCCCCCAGGACTCCCAAGGGACATCCATCCTGCACCCCCCGTCTCTCCAGGACCCCCCAGATCCCGCCAGGAGTCCCCGTCAGATCCCTCCCCACCAGTAAACGGTCCCAGTTGCAATCTCAGATCCCGGCCCGGTGCTGTCAGACCCCATCCCCCGTGCTCCCCTTGCAGAGGTGGCCGGGCCAGGTGGGGTGTGTTTATTGCGGGTCAGCCCTCGGGGCTGTTGCCCACGCAGGGCAGCCCGGGCACTCTCCAGCGGCGGGCGCGGTGCAGCCGCAGGGACAGCCACTGCTGGGGGCTGCCCGGGAGCGGCGGCTCGGCAGCGGCACAGCGGGCACTGCCCGGCAGATCGCCCGGAACATCGCCCGGCACATCCCCACCCGCGCCCGGCGGGGGCGGCCCCGGTAGCGGGACCGCCACCTCCAGGGGGTCCAGAACGGGCAGGGGGTCCGGGGGTGGATCCAGGGGGTGGGCGCCTTCGTCCGAACCTGGGGAGGGATGGACGGACTGGGATATTGGATCCGGCTCCTGCTGGGATTCCCTGTCCCCGTCCTAGTGCTCATTCCCTGATGTTCCCATCTTCATCTCCACCCCCATCCTTGTTCCCAGTCCCCGTCCTCATCCTTTCTCCATCTCCATCCCACCTCTATTTCAGTGCCACCCCCGTCCCATCCCTATTTCATCCCCACCCCATCCCACCCCCCATCCCTATATCCTCATTCCACCCCATCCCCATCCCTCCATTCCATGTCATGCCATCACACCCCACTCCATTCCATCCCATCCCATCCCCACCTCCTCCCCATTCCCATCCCCATTCCCATCCCCATTCCCATCCCACCCCGTGCCCACATCCTACCCCATCCTCCCATTCCACCCCCTCCCACGCCACCCCCGGCCCGTCCCCTCCCGCTCCCGCCCCGTTCCCGGCTCTCACAGCAGCGCCGCAGCCCGGCCCAGCCGCGGGCGTGCCCTCCGCGCCCCCCGGGCTGCTGCAGGAGGCAGCGCACGGCCGTGTCCGTGTGCCGGAACACCCGCAGCGCCCGCAGCGCCTGCCGGGCCTCGGGGGCCAGCCCGGAGCGCTCCGAGCACAGCAGCTCCCGCACCGCCTCGAAGTCCCGCCGCAGCTGCATGGCTCCCTGCAGGCTGGGACGGGGGCCACGGTGGGCGTGGGACCCTCGGGACCTCCCCAAGACCCCCCGGCACCGCCACCACATCCTGGGACCTCCACTGGGATCCCGGAACTGCCGCCAGATCCCCAGAACTGCCCGCCGGGACCCCCGAGACCCCCCCGGGACTCCTAGAACTGCTACCAGGACACCCAACCTGCCACTGCGACCCCTGCCCTGTCGTGGGACCCCCAGCACTGCCACTGACACCCCTGTTACTGTGCTGGGGCTCCTGAAACTTCCACCAGGACCCCTGGGACCCTCGCCAGGACCCCTGGCCCCACCTCTCGGACCCCCGGCACCATCACTGGGACCCCGGGACCCCTGCTCTGCCCCCAGGACTGCAAAGACGGCCCTGGCACCGCCCCTCAGCTATGGCACTGGGTGTGGAGCCCCGTCCCCAGTACCTGAACTTGATCCTGTGGGTGAGGATGTGGTCCATCCAGGCCTCCAGGAAGGCCGTGGTGACCCGTGCCAGGGTGGGCGCCTGGGCATCGCGGGGCAGGGCCTGTGCCCCCTGCAGCACCTGCCCCAGCACCGCCTGCACCGCGGCCGCCGCGTACGCGCTGGGGGTGCTGGGGAGCTCTGGGGGAGCGCGGGGACCCCGCTCAGCGCCGGGACCCCCCCACGGCCCCCCCAGCACCCCAAGGTGCCCCCGGCCCCCCGCACCCACCGGCGCGTGGCCCGAGCCGCCAGTGCCGGCCCAGAGGCATCGTCTGGTCAAAGATCTCGGCCGAGAGCCGCTTGCAGCTGGTGGAGAACATCTGCAGCACGTCCCCGGAGAAGAGCTGGGACACGGTGGGGGGACACGGGGTGACACGGGCACCCAGGGCACCCCTCTGCTCAGGACCCCCCCCTCGGGCCCTGCCGTACCTGGATGTTGTTGGCCACTCCGTGGATCTGCTGGCACAGCTGGAGCTCCCACGGGGACAGGGGGAGCGGCTTTGGGGGGGTGTCCCCATTGCTGTCCCCCAGCTCTGGGAAGGTCCCACTCACCTGCAGCACCAGCTGCTCTGTCTCTGCCTTCAGCACCTGGAGGGGAGCAGGAGGGGTGAATCTGAGCCCCAGCCCCCCCTGTGCCCCCCGGGCCCCCCGTACCTGCAGGTCTCCCTGGGTGAGCAGCAGGAACTGGGGCAGTGCCCAGGCCGCCAGGTACCGCCCGGCCCTGCCCGTCAGCCACGCGTGAGCGGCCGCCGCCGCCGCCAGACACCGGCTCAGCACCTGCAGCCGCAGGCAGGGACCCCCAGGGGATGCTGGGGGCAGGGGTCAGCACAGAGGGGACCCCCGTGACCCCCCCAGGCACCCCGGACCCCGCTCACCGTGTGGGGGGGTGGGCAGCGGGCGCAGGCAGCGCAGGGCCAGCGCCAGGGCTGGGAAGAGGCGCCGGAGCTGCTGCGCCGTGCGGCTGCACCCCGGCCCCGGGGGCCCCCCTGGCACCTCCAAGCACTTGTCCGACAGCCCCGAGCCCAGGGCAGAGGTGAAATCTGGGGAGGAAACAGTCAGAAGCCCCCAACGCTGCACACATCCCACACTGCACCCCACACCCACACCCTGGACCGCAAACCCTGCGCCCCACACCGTCACTGCACACCCTCCAGATCACCCCCCACTCCCTCACCCCACGCCCACGATGTACCCCACACCTGCACCCCAGACCTCCCTAACGCCGCTCCCTAACCCTGTACCCCCCGTCCCCCACCCCACACTTCCCCCGGCCCCCCGTACCCACGTCCCAGCTGCAGAGGACGCTCCGGCACATCAGGCGCAGGCAGAGCACCCCCAGCTCCTCCTGGCACTCGGGGGGCACACGGGCTGCGGGGGCACACAGAGGGTCAGGGCGGGGCAGGGATCCCTTGCAACCCCCCGCCCCCCGTGTCCCCACGTACCCACAGCAAGCGTGCGGCTCAGCTCCCGCGCCGCGGTGACGGTGGCACCGGGGGTGGCAGGGGGGGTGCCCAGGCCGTGCCCCAGCGCGGCGCCCGCGGCCCCCCAGAGCAGCGGGCGGTAGCGGGCGCCCAGCGCGGCGGCCGCGGGGCCGCGGGCGGCGTCCAGCCACCGCACCGACTTCCAGCCGCCCGCGCTGCCCGGGCGCGGCCCCGCGGGCTCGGGGCTCTCGGACAGCACCGGCTGCCACAGGCTGTCGGCCGAGGCCACCAGCGCCCCCAGAACGTGTCCCGTCAGCTCCTCGTCCTCCAGGCACAGCGCCTGCAGCTCGGCCGCCAGCCCCGGCAGCGCCTCCGCTCCGGAACCTTCCGCGTCCGTCACCGCGTCCGTCCCCGCGGCGTCGTGCCCCGGCGGCCACGGCACCGCCACATCCTCCCAGCGCACGTGTCCGTCCCCGATGTCCCCACCCCGGGGCCGCAGGAGGGGCTGCAGCCGCTCGGCCACGGCCCGGCCGCGCTCGGCCGCCAGCACCCGCAGCACCCCGTCCACCGTGAAGGGAGCGGGGAGACCCCCGGGACCCGCCTCGGGGCCCAGCTCCTCCGCCAGCCCCTGCACCACACGGTTGTAGATCTCCAGCCCCTGGAAGAGCTCGGCCAGGCTCTCGGGGGCCGGGGCGGGGGTCCCGGAGCGGCCGAGCTCCCGCAGGCACCCCTCAGCGTGCTGCCAGACCAGGCGCGCGGCCATGAGCGCCGGCAGCAGCAGCGCCCGCCGCATGTGCGCCACGGCCTCGCGCCGGTGCCGCGGCAGCACCCGCAGCCACGCGTCCCCCCGCAGGCGCCGCCGCAGCGCGGCCCAGTGCCCTGCCTGCGCCCGCAGCTCCAGGCACAGCTCCCGCAGCGCCGGCCCCGCGCGGGCCCCGCGGCCCCCCGGCCCCGGCAGCGCCAGCAGCCGCCGCAGGAAGTCAGAGGAGGCCTTGAGGCGCCGGGCGAAGTCGCGGGCCAGGCGGAGCAGGTGGCGGTGCCGCAGCAGCGCGTGCAGGGCCGCCCCCCGCGCCGCCACGCGCTGCCGCACCGCGTCCCCCGAGAAGTCGCCGCCGGCGCCGCCGGGACGGGGCCGCACGTGCCCCTGGAAGGTCTCGGTGCGAGGGTCCTCCCAGACGCGGAGGCGGCGGCGCAGCCCCGCGAAGCTCTGCTCCAGCGGGGTCACGATGGACGCGGCCTCGTCCTCGTCGTCCTCGTCGTCGCTGTCGCCGTCGCCGCGCCGGCGGGACCGCGGGGGGAGCAGGCGCCACAGCCCCGGGGTGACGCAGGAGCGCAGCATGGCCTCCGCCCGCTGCAGGGAGCGCGCCAGGGGCCCCCGCAGCCCTCCTGTGGGCACGGCACCCTCAGTGTGGGGCAGGGGCCTCGGCGTGGGGCGCAGACCCTCAGGTGGGGGAGCCTCTGCCCACAACCCCCTCATCTCTGCCACCTCAGCCCTGAGTCCCCCAGCCCACTGGACACCCAGGGAGTCCCAGGACCCCATCAGGGCTTCCATAGTTCCCCCCAGATCCCATATCCCGTTAGGTCCCCCACACTATCCCCAGGATCTTCATAACCCACCGCGGTTCCCGCAGCCGACCCAGGACCCCACACCCCATTAGGGTCCCCACATTGCCCCCGAATCCCATACCCCCTCAGGGTCTCCGCAACGCCCCAGGACCCCACAGCCCCTCAAGGTCCCCGCAGCCTCCTGAGTGTCTCACCAGGCTCGAGGAGCTCCCCGCGGGCCGCCCCATCCCCCGGGGCCGGCCGGGCCGTCAGCAGCAGCAGGATGAGGCCGCCCAGGCCGGCGTCGCCCACCTGAGGGGTGCGGGGGACTCAGGACCCCCGGGCTGGGGCGAGGGGCGGGGCCACCGCAGACGGGGCGTGGCCATCAACTTAGCCCCGCCCCTCCGCGCTGGCAGCGGCGGAGTCCTCCGCGATGACCACGCCCCCTTCCGCAGTAGCCACGCCCCATGCCTGACCGGTCACGCCCCCAGCCCCCTTGGCCACGCCCCCTCCCGGGCCGTTGCCATGGAGACGCCGCGCTGCCCGGGCCCGGTGCCCCCCTGCCCGCCCCGGTACCGCCCCGGCCCCGCCGCTCCCCGTGAGGGGTGTCCGGACCCCCCTCCCCGCGTGGCCTCACCTGCAGGCAGAGCTCCCCGCCGCGTCGCTCAGCGCCGCCGGCCTCCATGCCGGGCCATCCCGGGGGCGGCGGCAGCAAAGAGGCTTAGGCCGTGCCCGGGCTAATCCGGGAGGTCGGGCCTGGCCGGCCGCCGGGAGGGGATCGGCGCGGGGGGGCGGGACGAGCAGCGGGGAGCGGCCGGGCCCGCGGCCTCGGGGCAGGCGCGGGCGGCGGGAGGGGACGCGGAGAGCCGCTGCCGCTCGGCGCGGGCCCTGCGGGCCGCCGTCCTGCCCGCACCCAACATGGCAGCGGGGCGGCCTCAGCCGGCGCCCTGCCCCACTTCCCGTCGGTGCCGTGACGCGTTTCCGGCGCGCGGCGGCCGGCGGCGATGCGGGGCGGGGGCGGCACGCGGGACCGGGACGGGTCCGGGTCCGGCCCGGGCAGCTCCGCCTGCGGGGCCGCCTCCGCCGCCTGCCCCTGGGGCTGCACGCCCGGCCCCGGCGGCTGGAGCGGCGGTACGGGCCGGGGGGGCGCGAAGGGGGAGCCCGGGGCAGGGCCGGGGAGCGGGGCTCGGGCCGGCCCGGTTTCAGTTCCACCTCCGCCGGCTCACGGCCGCCCGCCCTCTCCGCAGCGCCCTTCTGCCCTCGGCACCGCCTGTCCGGCCTCGGCGACCTCCCGGTGCTGCCGCAGGGCCCCTCCCAGACGGTGATCCAGTGCGAGGGGGGGGAGGTGTGTCTGCTCTGGGACGATGGTGAGTCGGGCAGGGGGTATCGGGGGTCCCGGTGCCCGGGAGCTGCCCCTCACGCCCCCCGCTCTCTCGCCAGGCCCCAGGCTGGAGGATTTCTACCAGCTGGGGGATGACGACGAGGACGAGTCCGACGCAGATTACGAGGAGCGGGATGAGTTTTGGGACGTTCCCCCGGTGGAGCGGCCCCGGCCCTACAGCTACTGCGGCTTTCGCAAATCCTTCTTGTGCGCGGAGCCGCCCCTGCCGCAGCCCCCCCGGGCCCCCCCGAGCGCCCTGGAGGTGCGGCTGGACCGGCTGCCCTCGCCCCGCTGGGCCCGGCTCACGGCAGAGGTGGGCAATTCATCCCCCCTCGCCCCCTCCTGCTCTCCAGGGGCTGGGGGGTCCCGGGCTGGCATCGCGAGAGGGGCCGTCACCGTGTCCTTCCCCCAGGAGGCGGAGAGGAACGCGCAGGAGCTGGTAGCGGAGGAGGAGCGGGTGAAGAGGAAAGCGGAGAAAAAAAAGCTGAAGAAGAAGGTGGGTGAGCCCTCGGGGGGGTCACTGCCAGCCCGTGGGGTGCAGGCAGTTGCTGTCCCTGAGCCCAGGGGGTGCAGGGTCGGGGGGGTTTGGGAGGGCCTGCGTTGCTACGATGGCTCCATCTCTTCCCTTTCCAGAAGCAAAAAGACAGGAAAAAACGGGAGAAACTGAGTCAAGAGCAGAAGAACAAGGAGAACACTGACCCAGTGAGTGATTTCTCCGGCCCCCCCGAGCTGTCCTGGGGGTCTTCAGAGCTGGGGGCTGGGCTGCACCACCTACACCAGCTGCCCTTCTCCCTTCCTGTCCTTGCAGAGTCCCCCGGCCCCGAGCGGCCTGGCGGGCACTGGGCCCCCCCAGGATGGTGCTGAGGAGGAGGAGGAGT